CCAAACCCCTCACGGTCCGTCTCCGGTGACACCTCTCCCGGGGCTGTCTGGGAGATCATCCCCGCTTCGTCTTCCTCCTCCGAAGAAGCCCTGGTAGGTTGTCTTTTTCTCGTGTACATTGTAAGCCTACACTATCACCTAGCTATAAAGTATTTTCACTTCTGGCACCAGATGTATTGTGTATCTCACAAGACACACAGAATTCTGGAAGCACCACGATTTATTCACAACCGAACAGGGCTATGGGTGAACAATACTCGGGGTTACTCTAGACCCCCAAAGGGGTCTCTATTTAAACTGAGTCCCTGAGGACCGACGGACGCTCCAAGACCCCTGAAGCAATGCCGCACAGTTAGTTCCTTCCGCCAAACAACCCCAATCGCTCTGCCCCCGTCCCTCTTATCCTCCCGAGCGTGGCCTCGCTCTGCCTCCGGCCAAGCCCCTTCCTCGGTCTCTCGAGACGGAACCGGAGCCAGCGTCACATGTCCTCCAGGCCCCTGTTTCCGGGACCCCTTCATTCCCCTGAGTTGGCACGTCCCCTCTCTCTCTCTCTACGATGGGACCCTGCGCTGTAAGGCCTGATTCTCCACCACATCTCCGTCAGCTCCCTCGAGAGGTACGTGCACCCTCCTTTATCAATTGTAGTTGTAGTCAGCATATACGCCATAGAGACACTATTTACGTCTCTACACATACATATGTAATGGGCGACTTCCGCGACACGTCATGTAGAGGGTACTCCCTTCTTTATCCACATTCGGGCACACCACAGGCCAACCTAATCCTCTTTCTTTTCCTAGTACACACATATATATTAGTATCCCTACAGGCTACACATGGTCGATCCCACAGCGTGGTTCCGTCCACCCACTCCCGGCCTCGCCACTAGTTGACGGCGTGCCGGCGAGGGTGGTGGGACTTCGCAGGAGATCTGCCACATGGCCGAACGATGGAGAGAGATGACGGCGAGCAGCGTCGCAATCCGGACCCAAGGCTCCCCACACCGACCATGAGTCCTCCTCCGCCTCCGCATATATTGCCACAGGTGCGGCTAGGCTCCACCTCCGACCACTCCCTCTCATGGAACCTTCTATCCGGTTCCCGGAGTATCTCGGCCAGCCCTGCCCTTTACCTTTGGCCCTGATACCTCTCCCTTTGGGATTGGATTATGTTTATAGTGGTGCCTGTACCCGTGCTTCCCTTTTCCAACCAATAGATGTCACATGTCATTACACATATATACAACGTATAAAAACATACTCTGACAATAGGGCCATTCATCAAAAAAAATATCCATTATACTGTATAGTTTAAATTTTGAAGGTAGTGCGTATGACAGTGAACATAAACATAAGATAGAATACAATGGTTTTATTGAGGACAGGTGCAGCGTCAGGGCAGTGAAAGCCATTGGGGGACCAATGTAGGCAGTCACCTCAGTTTTTTAGTGTGGACCTGTGCAATTGGGGGTCAAAGGGACCTGAGGCAACAAACAGAAAAGACACAGCAAAGCAGAGAGAGACTTGTAGAGAGATAGCGAGAGACCTGGAGAGACAGAGAGAGACCTGGAGAGAGATAGAGAGAGGCACAGAGACATGGAGAGAGGCAGATAGAGGCACGGAGAGAGACAGACAAGCGCCTCTGGGGGCTCGTGTAGAAGAGTAGATGTTTTTTGTTGTTGTAACATTGTTACCCGCCCCTACTGGACATCTGTGAGAAATAGCTTTATAGCTCATCGGATTCCTCCGGTAGACAATAAATAAATATTCTGATTCTGAGGTCTTGTACACATTGCACACACACTGAGACGACACCGACTGTAGACCCTTCCGCGCAGTCTCCTTGCATCCTGCTGTTGCATTGCAAGACAATAGGGCTGCATTGCCTGAAGTCTATGCATCGGCAGTGGGCACTGTGCTGCACACTTTTTTTACTTTTAAGTTTCTGCAGTTTAAGGGGCGGTATCCAGTCTCGAAAACATTTACGGAAACAATCTGCTCATTTTAAAGTATATTATCCACCAAGAGTGGGGAGGGTTGACTGATCATGTCATCCTTCTGGGATAGGTATAATCTATGGGAAGTCAACAGCGGTTGTTGGTCTATGGGTAGACGCGCCCCTGCCATAGGAATGTGAAATTTACACCATGGGAGAAAAGCACCACCTCAACGCTAATTTGAGCAGAAAATCACTTTTTGTGGAACTAAAGGGAGTTTATGCTGTCTTGTACACCACCGCCTGTGCATTGCCTGAGGTTTATTTGATATATACAATGTGTATCTGTGTGCTGGAGGTACTCCATGAGTGGAGTACCTCCTGATATTCACTGCTGACTAGGTATCGTGTGCCCCACTTCTCTATCTGCTTTTTTCTTGGTGCTGCCCGACTTTGCAATTCCCTCCTATCGTCTCTTTTTCTAAGCTCTCTCCTACTATAACCTTGCAAAGGCCCAAAACACTTCGCATTTTGGGGCCTTTGCTTGGCGTCTGTGCAGTAAAAAAAGAATTGCTGGAAATGACGTCGATTCACTAAAGCGGCAGAGCCTATCCGAGGTCAAGCCCCGTGCTGGCAGATCCATTGGTGCTCGGCCCAGACGCACGTGGCACGGCAGAGTGCCTGTCACCGCCTGTGGTAACACGGAGCCACCTGCGGTCGCTCTACAATCTGGCCGCAATTGCACCGGCCTTTGGACACCAAGCAGTAGCGCTGACTGAAGTATTGGCCATGGAACCAGAGTGATCGTTAAAATGCCCTTGTTAGTCTCTTCTAAAAATCAGAGATTTGTTCATGAGGCAATTCAGATCTACAAACACAGACACAATTTCAACCGAGAGGATGGTTTCAAATTAAGCAACCATTGGAAAGATGTTCTAAATCGAACTAAACATTAAACTAATTTCAATGGTACAGTATATTTTTCAAGTAGTGGTACCCCAAACTTTCGCAGCTCTTATAAATTCCCCCTTTTCACACCATCAATAGGTAAACTCCCCCCTCCCCCCTTCCCCCCCGCGCCAAACTGCGAGTTCACCAGCACGTACACCACCTCTTTCCTAAAATCCGCCAATCAAATGCTAATTTTTATGCTACTTTCTTTGTCAGAACACCTTGTTTGCTCGCACACAGGTCCGATGTCTGAGCGTGGTTGTGTTTCGCTAAATTATCCTGTTTGATGAGTACTAGGTGCCTCGGTGAATGTATATGCTCTAACTTTAACATAGCTATTTCTGTGACCAGTTACAAGCTAATCACTCAGCTATTTCAATGCTAAATTCGATGCTAATTTCTTTGTCAAGGGGTACCTCTGCGGATGTGTATACTTTAACTTAGCTATTTCAATGAGCCATTTCAATGCTAAATTATATGCTAATTCCTTTGTCAAGGCACTTGGCCTTTTTCTCCTCACACAGCTTAAAGGTTGTGATCTAAGCGTGGCTTCTTCCACTCCAGCGCTAATTCCTTTGTCAAGGGGTACCTCTGTGGATGTGTATACTTTAACTTAGCTATTTCAATGAGCCATTTCAATGCTAAATTATATGCTAATTCCTTTGTCAAGCAGCGCTAATTCCTTTGTCAAGGGGTACCTCTGCAGATGTGTATACTTTAACTTAGCTATTTCAATGAGCCATTTCAATGCTAAATTATATGCTAATTCCTTTGTCAAGGCGCGTGGTCTTTTTCGCCTCACACAGCTTAAAGGTCGTGATCTAAGCGTGGCTTCTTCCACTCCAGCTCTGTCCTCCAGACAGTCTCGTCCCTTCACCTGATGAAGGCCGCTTGTGTTGTGGCCGAAACGTCGTGATTATTTGTTATTTTATTCTCACCTACGTGACTTTACCCAATAGAACCAAAGAGTGTGTGTGGTAATGGCTATGAATAATGCTGCATAGACCACAACAATAGGTAGAGCACCAGGCGGATGAAATACACCGACGTGGTGTAGCAGGGAGCACAGATGGTACATTTGCCAGTGCACTAAGTTAGTTAACCCATAGCATCTGGGTCTGTCCCATAGCTTCATGTCAACCAGCTTTCCACGCTGCACGTGATGGGCTCAAAGTGCACCTAGCCTCGCACAAGCACTGGGATGATATCACCGTCACTTGATGATAAATGGCGGCTGTTATCCTTGTAAATGCCGAGGGTCAGACGGTGTGGACGATGGGATTTTGTAAGGGTCGTGACCCCTAACCCTCTATTTCTGGGAATCGAGTTGCTCGTCTGTGTGTAATGCACACGCACTATGCAAACTTACATAAATAATATCTAATGAGTGGATTATGCAACCAACCTAGAAGGAAGGGAAATAAATACACAGACAACTTGCACCATTCCCCAATCTCACCCACCATTAAAAAATAAAAGTATTTACACATCCCATCAGCCGCACGGCCTTCTGGGAGTGATTTTTTCAGCAGTATTTGTTCCACACAACCAAAATCTGTACCGGTTTTTCCATCATCTAGTATCTCATCAGTCGAGTCAAACTTGCTTGAAACAATGCTGGTGAATTGCCAGATTGCCACAGACAAGGACTCCCCTCTGTCTGTTAGATATGAGTGCTTGTTCAACGGAAAGCTTGAATAACACTGAATAATCAGGAGCGTCATTGTGGAAGATAAGTTTTAAAATAAAATAAGCTGACAATACACTATATGAACATGGCTTTATCGCTAAAATTAAAGAGCAGTCGACTGAATGGTCGATTTCAAAACATCATTGAAAGGAAATGGGCGCGTGGTCTTCCTCTGTGCGGCACGAAGTGCGTGTGCGAGGCTGCACAGGTGGTGGAGCACATGCCTGTCATCTCAGGTTGGTCAACCCACGGCACCTGGGTCTGTCCCGTGACCTCCTGCCAGCAGCGAGCCTTTGACACTTCACGTGGCCTCAAAGCAGACCCGGCCTGGCGGAGGCGCCGTGGTGATGTCACCGTCACTCAGCGGCGAATGGCAGCTGTTAGTGCAGGTATTGGCGACGCGCTCGAGGCTGCCCCAACCCACCTTGCCCTTGAAGCGCCACTCGTAGGCGATGATGCGAGCCGGGTTCGCGCGCAGCACGCGGCACTCCATGCTCACGCTCTGGCCCAAGCCCTGGCGCAGCACGGCGGTGGGCGGCTCCACCACAGGGGGGTCTGTGTGCACACAGGCGCGTTGCCCCGCTTAGCACCGCACGTCTGTTATCTTTGTTGTTATCGTTGTTGTGATTACTACTGTGCTTGCTTACCCAGAAGAAGCCTCGCTGACTCTCAAGGCTTTCTCAGGAGGGTCCTGCAATGGGATGTTTTGCCAATTATTTTGTAATGTGTTTTTTGCTTGATGCAGGAAACAGAAGAGTATCCCCAGAAGACATGTGCAAATTAGAGAATAGGACTCAAAGGTCTACACAAACCCAATTGCTGTACAGTCTTTTCTCCTATAACGTGGTAGTTGCGTTCTTAAAGAACACTGCGTGAAGGAAACATCGCGTTATAATAAAAAATATATAATATAGTGTAAAGCACAGTCTGCAATAACACGTGAGATGCGTACGTGGACTGAACAAAGACTGAGGCACGTGGGTAACATCTAGAAGCATCCAGCAGCATCCCGCCTTGTGTTATGCTATGCTGAGGCAGCCGTACAACTGCTTATTTCTACTCACGCGACGTCGTTCCATTCACTCAATCGCGTTATATCCAATTAGCGTTATGAAAACACGCATTGCAGGCGAACAGACTGGCCACCTCCCAGCCCAGTGGGTTTGGGAGTTTCAAAAATCTGTGATCTACCAAAGCCTAGATTACAGGTGTGCACTGCCTGAAATGTACTTTGATTGTGAAAAATATATTAATTATCCTGATATTAACTTAGGATTTCTTAACAATCATTGGAACACATTTATTCAAAATACCAGCAGCCACTTGACTGAACAGGTGACGATTGCGATACGTTTCTCAACGAAGACATTGGCATGGTGGCATTTAAAAAATCTGGAAAACTTCACCATTAATGCCGGCACAGAATAGCCAGCTCCCCCTTCGAGTGACGTCAATGACAGATCTTCAACATCCACCGCACACGAAGCGGACGGTTGCGTCTCACATTTTATGGTTGACGCACACCACGATAGTTCTAACACATAAAACCTTGAACGGCAAAATGTGCTGCCGCGTCGGCCAAACCACCGCACCATCACCGCCTCCTCCTCACTCGTCGGCGTGAGCGCTGAGTGCGTACATTTAACAACGCTCACACTGCACGACGAGCTGGACGGTAGCTTCCCGGGGGCTCACGTTGAAGCCGTTGAATCTGCCCGTCTGGCAGCGATAAGAGCCTGCCATGTCTCGTGTCACGTTGGTGAGGTGTAGACATCCGTCATGGCTCTCCGTGTACAGGGCCCCGTCTGGCATGAGGGCGTCTTGATCCACACGCGACCAGAGCACCACCGGCTTGGGCTTCCCGGAAACGATGCATTGCAGATCAGCCATAGAACCCTCCCGCACCACCACGGGGGAGCGGCCACGTGGAACACTGATCGTGGGTGGCACTGCAGGGACACTCACGCAGAGCCACGCCACTGGGTTACTCAGCTCACACTGCACTGCAGAGACGCCCACACAGTGCCACACAACTGGTTTACTCGGCTCACACGGCACTCAGCTGGTTAAACAAAGGTCTAATTTGCAAGTGTAGAGGAGTAGTATGGGGACGTTGCGTCATGCACACCCTTCCGGTGTGATGACGTCACGAAACGTGACGTCATGCACGCCTTCCGGTGCGATGACGTCATGCGAAGTGACGTCATGCGCGCTGGGCGGGGCGATGACGTTACTGCATGTCTCCTCTAGGTACTTAGGGGGGACCCCGTAACGAAGGCAGGGTGACTGTGGGAGCCTGGGATGGTGAGCGGTTGAAGAACAAACCAGGGGTAGAGCTGAGAGAAAGAGTCTGGAGAGAAGCCGGCGGTAGCGATAGAGTGGCTGCTCTCCCCGGTCGGTCATTGTTGGCTGATCCCCCGATCTGACTCGGTGGAGAAAGCCCTGGAGCTAGCCGGGTTGGGAACAGACAGAGTGTAGGGTCGTGTGGAAGGACCCAGCACAGTACCCCTACCCCTGGGGAAGTGTCTACACTCTTAATAAACCCTAATAAAGCTTCGGCGCAAGCCCTTACCTGAAGACTGCCTCTGCGTCGTCCTTTATGCCTTAACAACTGGTGCAAGAAGTGACTACAATTCTCGCTGCCACGTCGAAGTCTGGCGCGAGACGGAGAAACCCACCTGTGGTGCATTAGGAAGACAACGACACCACAGAGGAGGGTCCCACAGTGATCCCAGAGACCGGGACCCCGGAGATGAGTCCCATGGAGCCGAGCCGCCTGGAGCAGCAGGAGATGGCGGCCGTGCGTGCCTCCTCCGGACACCTGGAGCATGCTGTCGGGCCAACTGGAGCTGCTTTTCCGGACGGTCACGCAGCTCGCCATCATGGTGGCCGAGGTGGGAGAGAGGACGCGCGCACCCGACACATTTTTCGAGCGGTGGGTTCGGTTCCCGCCTCGCTCAAAATTGGCGCCATTTAACCAACAGCTGTGACATAGGAGATTGCCGCCATTTTGGACCCCGAGCCATAGGCGGCCGCCATTTTCTCTGCGATGCCGCAAGCGGGCACCATTACCGATGCGACTCCACAACCGGCTGCCATTACCACCGCGATGCAACGCTGCTGCTGCTGCTGCTCTCTCGCCGGTGTTGACGTCGGGCGGCCAGCATCTTCGTCGGTTGCCACCCATCTGCCCATTCATCATGACAGAGGGCGGCTGACTGGCATTTCAAGGTTGCTTTGACATGGCGTACGACTCGGTTGGGTGGTCAATGGAGGTGGCTCTTCAGGCGCTGCTTCAAATCCTTCCCTCCGGCAGATAGGGCGTTGCTCCCGGCGTACGCGCAAATGGCTGCTGTGTTTAAGCCGCCTTCCAGTGCACGCCTTAAGTTTTCACTATGGAGGAGGGAGGAGGGGGAGCCACCACTCGCGGCCCTGGTGGTGGCCGATTGTCACGGCGGTGGCACCGGAGGTCGCCGGCCAGAGCAGCGGTAGCGAGCGAGGCCTCCTCGTTCACAAGGTGCCCACGACCTGCTTCCGTTGCGGTCAACAGGGCCACATCACGCTGGGTTGCCGCAACTCTCCCGGGGCCTTCACCAAGGCCTTATCCTCCGGCTCCACGTCAGGATCGCGACGCACCAGTCACATGGCCGCTCTCCTCACCTAACTCATCTAGCGGTGTTGGGGTTCATCATCACAGGGTCATCACGGGATGCTCGGATTCGATCTCTGCTCATTCGTTGCCATCCGCCAGGTGGCCTAGGCGGGTTCGCCAATGGGATGCGCTCGTGCATCGGGTTGTGGCGGCCGCGACCGGGTCCTCGGCGGTGGCTGTTTATGTGCAGGGGCTTGAAGTGCAGGTTTTGGTCGACATGGGGGCGTCTGCCACTACTATATCGGAGTGTATTTTCGGCCTTTTGCCACTCAACATTGGTCCATTGTGACCAGTTCAAGGGGCTTGTGTCACCGCAAATGGCAGCAGTTTGGGCATTTTGGGCCACATTGTGGCATCGGTCAAAATTGGTGAAATGGAAATGGAAGGGCCCATTTTAGTTTCCAAGGCTTTGGCAGTGCCCTGCCTCTTGGGGACCGCTTTCTTGGCCAAGATGCCCATTCGGATTCTCGTGGACCAAGGTTGTGTGGAAATGCCATCGGGCCGCAGGTTGCACTTTCTGCAGTCTCCCACCATTTTGTCCCCCCTTGCCGCCAGTGTGTGGGCCTTGAATAAAAAGTCCATGACCATTCCGCCAGGATCACAAATTCTGCTACCCCTTAGGCTGTGCAGACCCCTGAGATTGCACTCCCCAGAAACGGGCATCCTGTTGTCTCCCTCTAACTACTTTTTGAGGTCGTCTGGCTTGGTAGGCGCCTTGTCGGCCGTGTCGGACGGCCAGGACCCCTTTTGCAGGTCCTCAATTCGGGGACTTCGCCCATCGTGGTTCCTGCCGGCGCCATTTTGGCACACACAACCCCGGCTCTTCCACCCAATGACAATAGGCAGGCTGGAGGGGTTGTGGCGGGCGTGCTGCATGGTGGGGGGACCGGCGCATCTTGGATCGATGCGCTGTGCAACGAGAATGTCTTGTTGTCCCCCAGGGAGCGCCATTGGCTCCGCCCACTCATCGAGTGGTTCACCGATATGTTCAGTCAGAGTAACATTGATATCGGTCGTATGTCTTTTTTGGGACATCACATTGACACGAGAAATTCGCCCCTATTCGGTTAAATTCTCACCACTTTAGCCCGACGGAAAAGGATCATTTCCGCCTTCAATGAGATGTTGGCAGCGGACATTGTCTCCCCATCCACTAGTCCTTGGGGTGCCCACATTGTGCTAGTTAAGAAACGGGATGGGACCCTCCGGTTCTGTGTCGATTTCCGTAAATTAAACAAGATCTCCGTGGCTGATGCATATCCATTGCCTCGCATGGATAATTCCCTTGACGCCCTCTCGGGTGCACGGTTCTTTTCGACCTTAGACTTGCTCTCAGGCTTTTGGCAATTGCCATTGGACGAGGCCTCTAGACCCAAGACAGCATTCCGCACACTCCAGGGGCTTTACGAATTCAACCGGCTTCCTATGGGCCTCCATTCGGCCCCAGCCACCTTCCAGCATCTCATGGAGATGGTCTTGGCAGGGCTGCAGTTGGAATATTGTTTGATTTATTTGGACGACGTGACTGTTTTCAGCCGTACGTTTGATGAGCACTTGCAGTGTCTTGAGTCAGTGTTCATCAAAGTGCGTGCTGCGGGTTTGAAATTGTAACCACAAAAATCCCATCTATTACTACCATCGGTGAAGTATTTGGGACAAATTGTCAGGTGTCGCCACAGATCCAAAAAAGACAGCTTGTGTCCGGACGTGGCCGACTCCCATATCTGTCACTGAGGTGCATATATTTGTCGGCTTGGCTTCGTATTATTGTCGTTTTGTGCGTGATTTTGTGAGGATAGCGAAGCCACTTCACGCACTCTCCACCCAAGTCCAAAAGTTCCACTGGGGTGTAGAGGAGGAAGCTGCCTTTGCTGCGCTTCGTGCATCCTTAGCGGATGCGCCGCCTTTGGTTGTACCCAGACTTCTCAAAGCCCTTCCTCCTTGACACCGATGCCAGCGACACGAGCATTGGGGCGGTCCTGGCCCAGGTGGTCGATGGGGTGGAAAGGGTTGTAGCGTATGGCAGCCACGTTTTATCCCCCGCTGAACAGCGGTATTGTGCTACCCGGCGGGAACTGCTTGCCATCATGTTCTTTGTCCAGCTCTATAGGCCCTATTTATATGGCAGGCGGTTCACCATCCGGACTGACCATGCGGCCCTGCAATATTCGTTGCGGATCGATCAGCCCTCGGGTCAGCTGTCCCGCTGGCTCGAGGTGCTGCAAGAGTACCCCTTTGACGTCATCCACAGGAAGGGGGCACAGCATGGTAATGCAGATGGGCTATCCAGGTTGCCTACGGAGGGCGGGTGCATGTGTACCCTGGGTTCGAGTCACTGCAAGACCCCAGTGGACACCGCGGCCCAGTTGGTTGCAACGGCCGAAGCGGGCCCTCCTCCGCGTGTGGCATTGCCTGTTGATTTTGGCCTGGGACTCCATCGAGAGGTATGGTCCAAGTTGCATATGGAGGATTCCTCTCTGCTAAGGCTATGACACCGTGTGGGGCCAAACGCCCGTAGCTCAGCTCCGTCGACTGCCCCGGTGGTTGCTGTGCATGACGGCCTCCTCATGCGTTGGGATGCCCAATTAGAGCATTACTGTGTGGTTGTACCCACTGCCCTGCGAGGTAAATTGACCTGAGCCATTCACAAGAAACTTATGCACCTTGGCTACAATAAGACCTTGTTGACCCTTAAACGGGACTGCTACTGGCCGGGTGTGGATGGTGATGTGCCACTGGTTTTGAAAGGTTGCCACGATTGTGTGTGGAGGAAGGACCCAGTTGGCCAGGTTCGGGCACCGCTGCAGTCCATCTGGGTTTCTCGTGTCAATGAGCTTGTGGCACTCGACATTTTCGGCCCATTCCCAGCATCCCAACGGGGCCACAGGTACCTTTTGGTTGGAGTAGAGTACCTCACACATTGGCCTATGGCGTGGCCTCTGGTGGACCAATCGGCCTCTTCCATCGCCGAGGCATTCGTCCAAGGGTACGTTTTGGATAAGGGGGCGCCAGAACAGCTATTAATCGACCAAGGGCAGAATTTTTCTTCCCGGTTGATCAAGGAAGTCTGCGACCATACCACCCTCGGTCCGATGGGATGGTAGAACGATTAAACCGCACCCTCACGTTCATGCTGTGCTACCACGTGGGTACGTCCCAAGCGGACTGGGACCTGTTCGTTCCGGGGGTTCTGGCCGCATACAGCTTGGCCCCTCATGCCTCAACAGGGTTCTCGCCCTTTTATTTAATGTGTGGACGAGAACCGGAGCCCCCGATACACGTCCAAATGGACCTGGGAACATCTAAAAAGGGATCCCCGATGAAAGTCGCGCTCGATTGGCTGCGCGAGGCACAGCAGGCGGCTGTGGATAATGCGGCCACCCGGCAGGCAGCTAACGAACGCCTGCCCAAGCACCAAGCTGCCGGCCTTCCATGGAAAAAGGGCCAGAAGGCATGGCTCCACTGTCACCAAGTACCGGTTGGCACATCTCCTAAATTACATCGCCCTTGGCAGGGCCCTGTGTTCGTATTCGGTTCGGTCGCCGGCACAGGATAGTACACCCGTCTTGGCTTAAACGATATGTGCCACCTACCCTCGTTGATTCATCCCCACTTTTTGAGCGGCCGGTGACTGATGCGTCCGACGCGCCGGGCTGCACGGATCGTGACGGCAAGAGCGATGTCTGGCCTGTGTGTGCGCCTGCAGAGCCTGCGCCAGTAACACCTGCGGCAACGCCTCTTCTGGCAGATGCCCCAACGGTGGGCCTGTCACCAGCTGGCGCGTCATCTGGCCCTACAACTGACGCCGCACGGGGAAACGGGCCTGCAGCACACATGACGGCGATGGCCCCAGCCATTCTGGTGTGATGACGTCATGGGAAGTGACATCATGTGCGCTGGGCGGGGCAATGACGTCATATCTCCTCTAGGTACTTAGGGGGGACCCCGTGATGAAGGCAGGGTCACTGTGAGAGCCTGGGTTGGTGAACAGTTGAAGAACGAACCAGGGGTAGAGCTGAGAGAAAGAGTCTGGAGAGAAGCCGGTGGTAGCGATAGAGTGGCTGCTCTCCCCGGTCGGTCGGTGTTGTCTGATCCCCCGGTCCGACTCAGTGGAGAGAGCCCTGGAGCTAGCCGGGCTGGGAACAGACAGAGTGTAGGGTCGTGTGGAAAGACCCAGAATAGTACCACTACCCCTGGGGAAGTGTCTACACCCTTAATAAACCCTAATAAACCTTCGGCGCAAGCCTTTACCTGAAGACTGCCTCCGCGTCGTCCTTTACGCCTCAACACAAGTATAAGCTACAAATCATAGGCAAGTATTTATTCAGCGATATATGGGCAAGCTGTGGTGAATTAACCAGACATGATGGCAAGTTGCTCGCAATTTGAAGGTCATACTCTTTGGTTCTTTCGGTAAAGTCACGTACAGTAGGTAGAAACATTGATAATAAGTCACGACGTTTCGATCGTAACACAAGAAATCGTCATCAGGTAGAAAGATACAGCAGTAGAACTGCTGAATAAGAAAGTGAGGGCTGTTGCAACAAGAGGTTATATATAGGTTTGAGAACCAAAGAGTATGGATTCCTGCAGTCACTAAAATTTCAAATAAAAATTGGAAGGTTGAGAGTCAAATCCTGTTTAGTGTTTAACTCCACCCATTATCCCTCTGGGGACAGAAAAAAGGGTTTTACTTTGTTGGGAAGACAACACTGGTTGACCTATGGAGACACTTGCCTCTGCCATAGCAATTTGAAATTTCCACCATGGGCTCAGGGCTGTAAACAGAGATGAGCCCAGCCTTAGCGCTCATTGAAGCAAAACATCAGCGACTAATCACGTGAAAATGTGGACAAGTTCAAATAAATTATAATTAATGACACACAAAGGTGGGTTCTCACAAACAGCAGGCAAGCACAACTCCCGTCAATATGCCTTGCACAGTGGTTAACTAAATTTTACTGAAATCAAAATGTAACAGACTTTGTATGTGTGTATGTATGTTGAACTTCTTTCGAAGCGTATGTAGCCACTTGTGCTAATCGGAGGTGCGGGGGTAGGACAAACTAAACACAAAGAACAGTTTCAAAGAAATTCGTTTCAATATACATTTAAAAGTGCATAGCTGCAGTGGCTTCCTGATAGGTATCTACAGCCATGACCTTGAAAGCGTTTATGTTTGCCAGCACGAGGCCGGCTTCCTTCACATTCTCACCCGTGCTGCTGGAAATGTTGACGTCCATGCTAATGTCGCTTAGGGTGCGCGCGCGCGACAGCCGCGCCGTACACGTGTACGTCCCGAAGTCCGTGAACCTGAGGTCGATGATGTCGAGGCTCGAGGTGCCCGGCGCGAAGTCCGAGTCACTTTTGGAGATCAGGAGGCGGTCGGAGGAGCGCAGCATGCGCCCGTTGCGGTACCACGTGAAGGAGAGCTCCTCGATAGGGACGGCCTCCACCTGGCACGAGATCTTCACCTCTCGTCCAATCTGGATGTTGTCGTCCTCGTGGTATGGGTCAGGTGTTATCCAGAAGCGACCCCGACGGAGCGCTGAGGGAAAAACGCAAAAAAACAGTTTGACGTGAGATCGAGTTTGAGGGAACACATTTGTTTTATGCTAGCTGGGCGAGAGCTCAAGAGGCCAGCGTGGTGTGGTTTGTGTGAGAGTGCCCTGGCTCACCAAAATGACAAAAGCAATAACCGTTGTGGCTGGTTGTAATTAGTGGTGAAACGTCACGGTTTACTCTTCAACACACCGGTGTGCTGAACTCGTAACTAATTGGCACGTTTTGTTCATGTGACAAACCTTGCTAAATGGCTGTGGTTTTAACCACATTCATGTTTACGCAATCTAACCCAAAAAACGTGTATTATGGATAATATTGGTCACAAAAGCCTACGTTTGAAAAGCAAAAACATACAAACAAGTACACAAAGATAGGAAATGCACTTACATATGTCAGAGTATAGACCACCAACTTAGGAATCAGAGGAGAGACAACCAATTAGAAATAATAGCAAAAATAAATCTCCGAAAAAAAGCAACTACATCGAGAAATCATGGGGAAAATAACGACATTAGAGAGGCCATTTAAACATTAAGTTTAATACATTTCCTTATAACGACAATTGTATTGGACAATTACTTTTAAGAACCGTACAATTCTCATATACGGCATGCAGGGATTGTGGCATGTCGTCACGAGCAATTGGCAAATATATGCCCTCAATACTATGTGTTCAAGTTTCGAGTTAACTTTGTTTAACCAGGTGAGAACTCAGGAGACAACGATAAAGTCTAATTTGCATGTGACCTGGGTCACCCACCTATCTCTTTGATGCAATTCATAACTGGTGTTTGTGCGTGTATTGGTAGTGGGGCATGTAGGTGACCCAGATGCGCGTGTGTGTGTCTGCGTGTGTAGGTGGTGGGAGTGATAGTGTAGCGGTTAGCGCGTTGCGCTATGAACCCAGAGACCCGGGTTCAATTCCTGCTCATGGCCAACACCAGTGACGATTATCTGAACCGGTCCTGGGCCTCCCCAAGGTCGGATCAGCCTCAAATGAGTACCTGGTGCGGTGTGCAAACATCGTCAATGGGGAGACAGAGGCGGTCGGGCGTGGTGTTGGCCACCCACCCCCTCCTGTACTGTGCCGACCTTCATAGGTGCTGATAAACAGCACTTGCCCCGACAGTGTATTATGGCTATACAGGGGATCTTTGCCTTTGGGTAGTGCTGCATGTATCTGGTGTATTTGTGTGCCTATGTAGGCGGGGCTGCACGTATTCGATGGGGTTGTGTGTGCATGTGTAGAGTAAGGTGTGTGCGTGTGTAGGGTAAGGTGTGTGCGTACTGTATGTAGGGTAAGGTGTGTGCGCGTTTAGGGTAAGATGTGTGTAACGTAAGGTGTGTGTGTATGTAGGGTAAGGTGTGCGCGTGTTAAGATGGTGCAGCGTACATCTCACTGTGACGTTGATGGCTCTGCGCACGGCTCCCCCGACACCGTTACTAACGAGGCAAGTGTAGGTGCCCGAGTCGCTCTCGCGGACTGACTGGATGGTCAAGTTGTCTTTGCCAATGAGGCACGTGGGAGGGAGACCCCCTGGGCTTCTTGACCACGTGACCGAGGGGATGGGGTCGCCCTTTATGACGGCGCACCGTAGACGCACGCGTTCCCCTGGCTCCAGCACGAGCTGCTCCGACGCGGGATGCTCCAGGACGGGAGGAGCTATGGTCGGGTGGAGAGGGGGGGTGTCAGGGAGGATTGGCGGTGATAAAAGGTTGAGTCACGATAAATGTCAGTGAAGCGTATGCAAATTTAAAAGGCAATACGGAGTCCTCGTGAGGTCACAATGTTGTGGGCATGGCAGGGATTGCGTTATCACTCCCACTGCACCGGCCAATCATCGGCGCGGAAGACAATCCCATACAACATGGCCTCCAAGCAACATGGCTGGCGTGACATAATCGCCGATTATGCTTCAGCTGGTCTAGGACGTAATTATATTATTGTTTTGTTATTAATATTACTATACATTTTGTATCATTGTAAGCCTTTGCATCCAATATTGGTCGCGAAAGCCTACGTGTTAAACTCATTGTTACAATATTCATTGTTGATTGATTTTTTTATTACTTTGACAATCAACAAACAAGTTTCTCCTAACTTTACAACGCTTTGTCATAATCTCCTTCTGGAATCAGAGTTACGACAAGTCTTGGCTTACGCCACATGTAATATTGCGCAAAGTCATTCTGGACCAGGCCCCGGGTGAGGATTTCTGCTCCTGTAAAGTCCACGGTACTCAACCAACAGAGACCAAGTTAGTTTAACATGTAGTAGTAGTAAGCCTTTGCATCCAATATTATCCATAAGAGAGGTTTTTGGGTTAGATAGCGTGAATATGAATGTGTTGTTAAACCCGCCACTACCTGACAACGCCACCTTGGCACACACACCGTGGAGGATGCTCGGCGATCTTCCATTAACATGTTAATCTCTCACATTAACATAGCCACCTTGGTGCACTCGCCATGAAGGATGCTCGGCGATCTTCCATTGTAATGCAATTTTTGCCTGCAGCCCTCTGATTGGTGGAAAGCCCACCACCGCCGCGGTCACGGCCCACCACTTGCATTGGCATTGGCTGCTGACATTTAGGCTACGCCCATTTCAAACTTTTATAAGCACTTGTCTTTAGAAGATAATCCCCCTTTTCCTGATGACGGCCGCATGTGTTGCGATCGAAACGTCATAGTTTTTTTGCTATTTTGTTATTTTCTTTGAACCTGTCTACGTGACTTTACCGAAATACCCAAAGAATATGAATTCCTGCAGTCACAAATGTCAAGATGCAATAAGTAAGTTTATCACGTAAACCAAAACATGCCAATTCGTTATTAAATCAAAATTCGTTACTAGTTCAGCACACCCATGTGTTGGAGAGTAAACCCACAACATCGATCATTCGAGTACAACGTTTTGCCAGTAATTGCTTGTTATTGCCACAATTCTGGTTATCGTCTGATTTATGCTGGTTGTAATCACCGGTAAAAAATCCTACTCGAATTGTAGATGTTGTGGGTTTACTCTCCAAAAGACTGGTGTTCTGTGACAAACCTTAATAATTGGTTGTGTCGGGTGGTGGCGGGTTTAATGACACATTCATATTTATGCAATGTAACCCAAAAAAAACCCTCTATTATTCAGACGTAAACTGTCCATATAAAAAGAGTGCGGCGGTCTCCTGACAAGTGTGTGACTCCGACCACTCACAACGTCACAGAAGACACAAAGGAAACTTTGACCGGAGTCACCGTGGAGGTTAATCACAGACCCAATTTGCCGGCATCCATGTGGCTACTCGTTGTCACTCACGAGTAGCATTTGTTGCACGCCTTTTAGGGCGTGTGTATGACGGCCGTCGCGCCAAGCAGCCTCCACCGTTTGACCATGCTCGGAGTCCCCCATCACTGCCGCATGATCCCATACTGATGAGTGTGAAGTCAACTATTGGTGCAGCCATTGACCATTGTCGTATGTGCATCTCATAATGTCGCTAATACGGTAGGCAAAGTCACAGTGATTACCTTCTCCAATGAGCACTGCAGTTTACAGCCCTGAGCCTGTGGTGGAAATTCCACATTGCTATGACGGGGGCGAACTATATCTCTTTTACTAGCTCCGGAAGGATGATCGTTTGAGTCAACCCCCAACCAGAAGTTTAACTCGCAACCTTCCAATGACGAGTCACTCGCTCTACCGTGCAGCTACTTGGCCAGTAGTCATACAAATTATGAACAAAATAATGTGGGCATGTTATAAAAATAGCCGCAGATATAATCATTTTGTGTGAGCCTGAGATCATCAAACGCCTGTGTCTGTGTGTCGTCTCTGCAATGGTATAATGTTGCACAGAATAAAAACTCCTGTTCAGACCTCGAAGTACCAGTTGCTATTCTTGACAGTGTCCGAGCAGCTTTGAACCACAGCACTTATTGAAGATGACATGGTTTCACATAATTTTGTACAACATGGTACCCTGCAACATCTGAATTCTAGAGTATCTCAAGGTACCTTACTTGCTAAGTTTTCACAGGAGGAATATTTTTTGGCAAATTTGGACCGTGATGCTGGCACACAATGGCCGACTCTTCTTCGAATTACATCACAGAATGACATCACAGGATCTGTCACGTTTCACTTTGACACAGATTTCATGGTTAACACACCTCCGGTATTACTTCAGGCGACCTGCCAGATTCAAACCTAAAACCTCGACAAAACAACTGGCGAACGTGCTACGGCTGGGCTTATGTGATCACCCCAGACTGGCATTGACATCAAAGTAGAACCACTCACGGTCATGACATCGTCAGAATGGCATATTGTTCTGCTGTATATAATAATAATAATGCATCTAATATAGATCAGTGGGAACTGGTAGCTTTCCAATGATCCATTATTGTGGTATTAGATGTGTGAGCACAGCCCTATCTCTGCTCCTCTCGATAAACTCTCCACACGCACATTTTAACATTTACTCTCAAAGCAACATCTTCAAACAAGAATGACGATGGAACCTCCCCATTGAACCTCGCCACAACTGCTCACCAGTAGTGCGCGTGAGCGGGAAAGAAGCCGCACGAGCCGGAATGTTGCACACGCTGCCCACGGACACGACACATGTGTAGTTGGCGTAGTCCTGCGCACGCAGATTCTTCAGCTTGAGGATGTTCGTGTCTGCCTGTTGGGGAGACGCCGTTCTGGTCACTACTAACCATGCGTCACCGTTCCCGTGAACTTCACTCATTGGATTTCTCCTCCACCCCTGGTCAAGACTCTTTATGCCAGACTGGCTATTTTTCGTCTCATCCACATTATGTTCAACCACCACCCTGCAGGTCACAACAACACACCCACCTACTCACCCAATAACTCACCCAATCACTCACCTACCCACTCACCACCCTACAGGTCACAACAACACACCACCCACTCACCCAATCACTCACCTACCCACTCACCTACCCACTCACTCACCACCCGGCAGGTCACGACAACATACCCACTCACTCACCCAATCACTCACCTACCCACTCACCACCATACAGGTCACAACACACAACAACCCACTCACCACTCACCTACCCACTCACTCACCACCCTACAGGTCACAACAACACACGCACTCACCTAATCACTCACCTACCCACTCACCACAATGCAGATCGCAACAACACACCCACCCACTCAATCATTTACCCAACCACTCTCTCACCACCCTGCAGGTCACAAGAATATCTGCACCCAATCACTCACCTACCCATTCACACACCGCACTGCAGGTCACCTCACTTGTCTTTCTGCGTATTCCCTCACACTGCTCCACTCTGGAATTCCATCCGATTGTCTCTTTCCAAGCTCTTATGATCTTGCCCAATTTGAGAAGCATGTTAACTCTAATCTTCTGCAAGTTCTGACAGTGTGTGGTGCCACGACAGCGAAGCCGCTCCACCGAGGCCGGGGTCGCCGCTGTGCTGATGGTGCTGCTGCAGCGGGGAAGTCACCCGGCTCCCATCACAGCGCTCTCCCCAGCACCCCCAACATAAACACACACGGACTGGTGGGCAGGTGGGGAGCGGAGCGGTGCAGGTTAATGTGGTGCCGCCGTAGCGGAGCCGCTCCATCGGGGCAGTGCCCATCGCCGTGACACCGCCACCTGGGAGTGACGGCACCGACGCGGCGCGCCCCTCGCCGCCCCTCCCCCCCCCCCACATGAATGCACGCACACCCCACGTAGAGCCGGGAGGGAAGGTCACCTGGCCGACAGGTTTTTATCCAGAAGCCCCTAATGGGATCAAGCTTCATGGCTTCCTGCAGCCGGGCAATTGGGCGATCTACCCCCAAGGCTGACATGCACCGCAGCACCGTGACCTGATAATAAAGTTACGTGGTCACGGCAGAGGCCATTGAGCCACGGCGAGTGAAACCGCACATGCACAAACACGAGTTAGGAGGCCAAGGGGGGTACGGATCGGAATGCATTTGTTATAGGTAGGATTAGGGATCCAAATAACAGAGGGACAGGAATAACCAGGCCTCTGAATGGACAGGGCAGCACGGATGCGGGAGCAACTGAATGCCTTTTGTTATCGGTGGGATTAGGGGATCCGAATGTCAAAGTGACAGAAATATCTCAGCCTCCGATTGGACAGAGGGGCACGAGCACAGGAACATCTGAATGCCTTTTGTTATCGGTGGGATTAGGGGTACCGAATGTCAAGGGGGACAGAAATATCTCAGCCTCCGATTGGACAAGAGGGCACAGGCAAGCAAGGTCCGCGGAATGCCTTTTGTGATAGGTAGGATAAAAGGCAGGTGATTGAGACAGTGAAGGGAGAGTTCTTCTTCTTCAAGACATCGAGAGCAGCGGGGTGTTGGAGTCAGCCGTTGGAGTCGTCCGTGTGACGAGCTTCAACGCAGCCAGGCTCAACCCTCTACGGAGACGACCCACAGCATCGCCCTTCTACAGCTTCCAGCGCAGCAGAGTGGAAGTAAGCGTAAGTAAGAGAGAGGTGAGTTTGAGCTATTTAATCGAGGGTAGAGAGCAGAGCGATAGGCAGAATAAATTGGATCTAAGATCCTTGAAGGATAGGCTAGGAGAGCCTGCTGACTCACACAGACACACGTAGTTTAGCGGGATATTCGCGGGGAATAAAACCACTAATAGAGGCTAAAACTGTGTCGTGGTCGCTGTGAGTACAAAGAGGGAGGCGGCGTGTTTTGTGCTCGCGCGTATACGCGGCTGTTTGCAGGCAAATAAGGGAGTGTAGCGTCTGGTGATCGCGTGCACGCACGGTTGTTTGCAACGAGGCGGAGTGCTTAGCGTGCGTGTGCCTACGCGGCTGTTTACGGGAGTGCTTGGCGTTTGCGTACCCGTGTGACTGTTTACGGGAGTGTCTAAAGGTCACGTGCATGCGCGGTTGTCTATAGTGAAGCGGAGAGCTAAACGCCTGGTGTGCGCATACATGCGCGGCTGTTTAAACGGCCCTTTAAATCGGACCGGCGTGACTCCCTCCAATCAGCAGCGCGCGCACGGCGGACACCCCTGCCCCCCTCCCCCCCGACCCCAACTCCCTCGCGTGTAATTGGTGTACGGGGCTCGGCAGGTAGCAGCATCGGGTTTGTTATTGCCTAAGCGCGTAGAGCGTGTGTGTGAGGGAATCACGCATCAGCGCGCCGTACCTGTTGGTTCACGTGCGGGACGTGAGTCACCCGCTCTGCGAATGCGCTCACCGCCGAACACCTGCACTGTAACAGCGAAGCGCGTCGTATGCGTAGAGCAAGGCAGCCCCACAGGTTTTGAGACATGCCGACGTCGGTCAGCAACCAAGTCAGGTGTACAGGGGGGTGCGAGGAGTTGGAGGTCGCTAACCCGAACCCTACAGAACTGCCAGGTGGTAGTAGTACAAATGTAATGGGGGAGTCAGGGGGCAACGGCCCCGACAATTCAGTGATGGCGGGGGACGGCAGCCCCCACAGTTGGCGTCAGAAGCGGTACGAACCCCCGCGTTACCCCACGCAAAAATATGGCATATATTTACCAGCCGGGGGGCTCCTTGGTGGAAGGGCATTCGCCCGCAACGTCATAGGGGCTAAAGAGATTAATGGGTGGACGGACGCGCAGGCGTTACGCCAACTTATTATGAACCTGGATGGGCGGCAGCCAATTTTGTGGAAGCCCTACCCACAAGCGCGCAGACACAGCTAGAGGAACTGATGCGCCGACTTGATCTGCGTTTCGGTACGCGTGATGAGGAGTAGGCAAAAGGCAGCCTTAGAGGCACGCTCCCGCCAACCCGGCGAAGGACCTGCGTGATTATGCCGAGGATGTGCGCGAGCTAACAAAGATCGCACGCCCTGGGATACACGACAGAGGTGATTGAGGAGCTTGCCACCGAGAAGATCCAGCAATACTTGGCTCGCACGTCGTGGTGGCAGCCAGACATGAGCTGTACACGTCTCCCTTTCAACGCCCTTGTCGGACGTGCGCGACATAAATGTGGAAAGGAATTTCCAGCGAACGCGCAGCAGCTCCGGGTGCTGGGACGAGAGCGCACCATCGCAAGCCTGCTCCCTTAGAGGTAGGAAGAGGAGGAACAGGAGCTCGCCACGGACGGTAAGGGGTCGGGAAAGGGAGCTCCGGTATCCCGCCAGACAACCCCGGGATGGGTAGCGGGGATACAGACGGGCATCGGAGGGATCGACAGCAAGGTAACCCAAATGGACAACAAGGTAACCCAAGTAGGTGAGAGAATAACCCAAGTGGACAACAAGGTAACCCAAGTATGGGCACATATGACTGCGCTGCAGACTACGGGGGAGACGGTTCAGACCGAGGTAGGAGGGCTGGCCGGGAGGGTAGCCCGACTAGAGGCAGAGTCTGGGCAGCGGCGTACGGGAGGGGAAAGAGGGAGCGGGCGGGGAGGCTCCTACGGGGCCGCCGCAATTCCCCGAGCATGTTACCTGTACGACCGTCGAGGGCACCTCGTGAGAGACTGCCCTCAGATCGCCCGCACTAGGCAGGCGCCGGGGTTAAACGCCAACGCCCCCTAGAGAGTGGACCACCTAGAGGTGCAATCGACGAGGTCCCGAAACAAAACGACTATAGTAATAATGGTGAGCGAGCGACCCCACACAGATTCTAGCAGCAACACCCAAGGACGCGGTGAGTACGGGCGACTGGCTGCGGGAGCTGGTGGCGGGAATCACGGGGGCCACGTCGCTGGTAGAAGGACAGGTGAACGGGCGGCGAACCCGGAATGTGCTGGACACGAGGGCGGTGGCCTCTCTCGTGAGCGCCACGCACTGCAGCGTGCTCGGGGTTGACGTGAGCCACCTGCAGGCCCCGGATCGCGCGCTGCACACAGCAAGCGGAGCCGGGATGGGGTTGCTGGGAAGGATCTGCCCGCGAGGTCCGTCTCGGACACCAGGTGTGCACACAGGAATTCTAAGTCTCGAATGTGTTGTGCCATGAGTGGATTGCAGGTACGGACCTCCTGGAGAAACTGGGGCTCAACGTACAGCCCCGCCAGCGATGCGCCATGGTGGAAAGCAGCGGGGAGCGAATTCCGTTCCTGGGACAGGAGCGGAATCACCCTCGCTTCACACCCATGGCCGCCACCCTGTTGTCGGCCGTCACCATCGGCCCGCTCGCCGAGATGCTGGTGCCCGTAGCAACCCCCTCCGCCAACCCCACACACCGACCATCGGGCGAGGTAATGCTAACTCCTTACCCGGAGTTGGTGGCACGGTACGGAGTTGTAGGGTCAGCCACGCTGGTAAACGCAGATCGGGGTCGACTGTTTATGCGGGTGTTTAACCCACACAGTACCCCAGCAATGCTATGATGATGCACCACGGTAGCCACCAAACACCCCCTGCACGCGTGCCACTCTAACGACTCGGTGTTTGCACTCTGGGCGGAAGACCCTAGGCCACCCCAAGGACAATCAGGATCTGGCCTGGCGAGTCGGCCCGACCCCCCGAGCCGAGATCGTTCCCCTACATGATGCGTTACATGTGCCTTGGGCAGATTTACCTAAGGGGGAGGCCGATCAGCTGCGCGGATTATTACAGGAGTACGCCGACGTGTTCAGTGAGCATGATTCAGACGTGGGCCAGACAGACCTTGTTAAGCAGCAAATTGACACAGGTGCAGCCCGACCCATCAAACTCCCTGCA